AGCCAGCATAATTGATTCCTGCCAGAGGCAGTATGAATTTATATCTTTACCCTTGACTTGACTTTTAGCCTGTATTTATTTAGCCATTTAAACTGTTGTAGCCGTTTCTTTTGACCGTCCCCTTGGCAGTCTCATTGTTGACACTTACACTTCACTTCCTCCGCATTTGAAGTCGCAATGGCTAGAAATATTTTTGAAAGAAAGCGTGTAGGCTACAACTAAATACTGTGTCACTCTAATTCCAACTGTTAATGCTTTCTCAGTTAAAGCAAGCATTGTATATATTTCCTCACAGGGAAGTTCTGAGTAAATATTTAAATTGTAATCTTGATATTACGTTAGCTGTGATATGCAAACTTAATGTTTTAAAGATGTAGTTAAGGGTGTTAAGAGAGCCGAGTTGATCTTAAGGTGGCCAGAAGATAAATTAAAGGAATCCAGTTGCCTTTTATTGAAGGGGAGGGGGATTAATGTTCAGAAAAAGAATTTTGAAAACAAGCGGGTCAAGCTATCATTCCCCCAGCGATCCTATTGTTTAATACATCTGCTTTTTTTTTTCCAAATATTTTCTTTTAAAGTGTTAGAATTGATCAGAATCCCATTGTGTTTGAAGACAAGGCAAAATTACAGTACCAGAAGAGCTTGTTTACTGATGCACAGGTCCAGTAACATACTGTAGGGAGGAGTGTGTGTTCCCTAGCAGTGTCAAGATGGCTGCAAAATATCCTGTCCTTCCAACAACTCTCTTAGAATGGAAATACTTTTTTTTTCTTTATCTAGTAAGGATAGGCTGTGGTCATTGAGGACCGCAGGTCTTTTACTTCTGAGTGAAGTTTCAGGATTAGTCCTGAAGTCACTTCCCCTTTAATGAAATCAGAAGCAAAGCAATTCGAGGTTACATGCTTGGGAGTTAGATGTTTCAATCCCCAGCTTCCAGGTGGTTACCCTTTAGTATGGAACCACAGCTCAGTTGTTTGCTACCAAAGTTGCCTGTGCTCCACAGTCACAGTCCAGTGACCTCTGCTGAAGACAGGCACATAAGCCTTCTCTTTCAAGAACGGAGCATAGGTCACTCTTCCTCTTAAAACATCTTTCTTGTAAAGATCTGCTGGTGAATGGGTTTCCTGTAATTTACACGGTAGTTTTAACAGCTAAGGAACTCAGCAAAGCGCTGGAGAGCTGATCTGTTGTTCCGTAGTTGCCGCCTCTACGCTATAGCTTAGTGGAGAGCACCCTAGTCCTCTGGTTAGGTGGAGACCGTTTCACTGTATAGAAAATACTGCCAAGATTCATAGTCTAAAGAGAGCGTGCAGAAGTAGCATGCCAAATGTTGTACTGTATTAACCACCCTTTGGGTACATAAACAGTCACTCAGGGGTCTGGGCCTGGCCCAATCTTCCTTCCCTTTTCCTTCTCAAGATGCTCTGCACTCATACTCCATTTTCCTTTTGTTCTTAGACATCTTGCTTGGAAGAACACCAAAGTTTCAGGCTCCCAGGGAGATGTGGACAAGAAGTTGTTCAGGCATCTCAAATCTCTGTAACTTCTGGGTATGTGCTGAACGAGCCTTTATGCTAGGGGAATTTCAATGTGAGAAAGTGAGATCCTGAAAAAGCTCTGATGCCTTTGAAGAAGATAGTTTGGTAACAGATGGGCAGAGCCTTCTAGGAAGGGGGTTTTGATTTGAGGACTGGTTAAAGACAAGGACATTGGAATAATTTAAAAGTTACTGGTTTCTCAATTGAAAGCATCTGTTTCTCAGTCAATAGACAGTAATGGATTATTTGTACACCCCTGTGCCCTTGCAGGGGGTAGACTGAGCAGGTGTAACTGTGACCAGTGGTGGTCGTGCTGTGTTGTGTGGCAACGAGTACCTGTTGAGATTGCACATCACACCTGCTGCTTTTGTTTCCTGGCCCTAGGGAATCTGGCACCAGTTCCCAGAGCAGACTCAAGATGGCTGTATCAGGGACCAGTGCTCCCTGGATGTTACTCTCAAGATTTGGATACCTTCTGATGGGAATCTGTCTCTTGGTCTGGGTATTAACTCAGAATTGGGAAGACTCTGTTCGATGAGTAACTGAACGCACGAGTGTTTTCAGACCTGCAGTTTTTTGCTCACTTTCTCTTCCTTGTTCTGGCTGATGAACGCTTTAGCTACCACGTTAGAAGTGGAATAGTGTCAGCAAGAGGCTGTGCTGCTTTGGGGAGTTCCCTGGAGGGGGGGCTGTGAAGGGTTGCACAGCTGTGAGATTGAGGGTGGGCAGTAACACGCTGGGTGCTTTCTGGCAGCTGCGGCAGTCGGACAGGCTGCTCAGCTTTGGGATGAGTAACTCGATGCTGCAGTTTCGTTTGCGTCTCCATTGCTATTCCCTCCCTGCACACCCACCCCCCCCCAGTGTAAAGCCATTTCCTAATTCCATACAGGATCAGCAGATGCACTGCACCTCCCTTGTAATAGAATTGCTATTGGTGATGGAAATGGAAATATCACTCTAAAACAGCAAGAAGACCTCAGTGACTTCTCTTCAGCTGTGATTTTCAAGGGTCTGTGGCTATAGTTTCAGGACATGTATTTTGTTGTGGGTTTTTTCCCCCAATAAACTAATATGAATCTTGTTGCCTCAGGAGGGAAAGTAGAATTTGTAAGAGGCTGTGCACAGTTATATAGCAACATTTCAGCCTTATGCTTCGGGGAAACTGACTGCAAGGATGAGGAAGTAGACCCATGTGTCTGCAGTGGTTGTGGCTGGATTTCTCATCCCCTTGCTTTCTGCTGAAGTGTTAAATACTGACTAGTGCTGGGGACAGGATATTAAAGTTGTTGCAATCACGTATGTGTTTCTCGGAGCTTTTGCTTCCTGAGAGGTGAATGAACTCCCTTATTATAAAACTTCTGTTCTAGCCCTTGTAATTAAATAATATCATAAAAATGTTGTATAATGTATCTGTAATTTCTAGTTTGGACTTACAAAGGCAAGTTTAAACCTGCTTGTAACTCCCTCCTGCTGTGCTTAGGAGGTGGCAGACAATGTAAGATGCTTTGTCAGCAAAGCAAACCAAGTAATTAGAAGTAACTTTCTGTTGCACTGGGATGAAACCATGATATTCTCGGCACCTGAGTCCCAGCATTTCCTATAGACAGACTTCAGTGTTTGTTGAATTATGATTTTGAATTAGTCCTACAGACTCTGTAACCTGGTAAGCCCATAATTTTTTATTATTTTTAATTTTTTATTTTTTTTTTAGCTCTCGGCTTTATATACCCACCCTTATCCAGTTGATTGCAAACCTCTTCACACTCTCACTTTGTTTTTTCCAAGAAGGAAACTGGTGTTAGGGCTTGAAGGGAGCTATAGGGTGGATAGGAGACATTGAAACTACTTGGTACTAGACCAAGTGTGAGTAAAGATACCAGCGGATATATTGAAGTGCTGTGCTTACAGGGTCAGAACATAGCAGCTACATCACTGAGACTGCCTCTATATTAATTAAAAAGATAAAAAACATGCAGGCTGAGGACAGCATTCTCTGGCTTCTGCTGCCAAGTGGCGGGGTACAGTTTTTGTCCACAGTGGCTGAACTGTCAGCCCTCTGCCAAAACCTGGCTGCCCTCATCCAGCTTTCCTGCTGGGAATGGTTCTGGCACCTGCTTCATCCTGCGTTATCCAAGAGAGTGTGAGGTGGCCCAGGCCAAAACTCTGATATGTGATAATTGTTAAGCAGTGCGGCCAGTACTGGAGTCTCTGCCTTACCCTTATCTTACTTACTGGTAGTCATTTAGCCCAGCATATGTTAGCTTCCTGACAGATTTACTTTTTTAAACATATAACCACAGAAATGTTGGTTGGAAGGGGGCTCTGGAAATTATCTAGTCCCGGTTCCTGGGTGGAGCAGAATGCAGCTGCTGCAGAATTAATGAGTCCTAAAGGTAGCTGCAGGGATTTAAAAAGTTTCAGTGAGGAATGCAATTTTTTTGTTGTTTTCTTGCTTTCAGTGGGATTTGGCATAACCCTATGGTAAGTCCATAGCGTTAGGTTGTGTCCCCTACTCGGTGAGTCTAGCATGTCATCAATCCTAGACAAACTTTTTGCCTGGATATCGGCACTGCTTGCCTTTGCAGTGCTGCGGGTGGCATGGTGGCAGCTGCGTGTCCTCTGAGCAAGCTCCAGCTGTCCTTGATCTCTCCTCACTTAGTTAAGGGTACACTTTCTCCTTAATTATGTGCAATTCATGTTATATTTCTACCTGTGCTGTTAAAATTCTTATTGAATACTTTGCTTTATAATCTTCCACTCAACCTCAGGAGTATATTGGGCATCTCATTTCTTTGTGTGGGAAGGAGAGAGTTTGGGAGGCAATTTGTGTCTCTGACTGGAACGGGGAATTTCTGAATTCCAGGCATTCATTGAGTACTAAATTGGTGTATGGTCTTTGTGACTTCATTGTCTTTTATCTGTCCATAATATTGGAATTATCAGATGGATTTCCTATAGGGGTGATGTGAACACTGGTTTGATCAAATATATTTGGCAATGGAAACTGCAGCGTTCAGGATGATTTCTTATTTAATTTCATCCTGATTGTGAATGTTCCTTCCTCCTGTGCTAGCCAAGGCAGGGACCAGGTGAGGGTGTTGAAGAGCAATACTCATTTTTTCCTTGTTTGCAGTTTCACAACACAGCCTAGAAATCAGGAATGCTGTTGACATCAAAATGCGAAAAATATTCCCTGAAAGCAATGTTACACATTATTCTAGTGAAATAACTGTCTCCATACGTGTCAAGTTAGAGTGTGATTTACAGTGGGTTTTTTCTTTCCTGTGGCTTCACTGTTTCCTAACTAATTATATCTAATTTCATACTAAATGGTTATTCAAGACTAGAAGTGACGACTTTTTGGTACTTCTAAGTAAAAATGACTTTGGAGGTTATGACTGCATATTCTGCAGTTGTGTGTTTCAGTGCTTCATTGCTTCTGTTCCTGTTACAGGTGCATGTGACAGCATTGCAGCAATGAGTGGAATTTTAAAGAGGAAGTTTGAAGAAGTTGATGGCTCCTCACCTTGTTCGTCTGTGCGGGAATCAGATGATGACATTTCTAGCAGTGAAAGTGCTGACAGTGGTGATAGTGTCAATCCATCCACTTCTAATCATTTTACCCGTAAGTACTAAAGTTGTGTATCTAAAGAATTTTTCCTGTTCCTCAAAATTAAATAAATGGTATGGTTAGACAAACCTTATGATTTTAAACTGAACAGATGACAAAATAGACTCTGGTGTTCAGTTTGTGACTTACTCAAAATGACTTGCACACTTTTGCCTTCCTGTTAACTAGATAAAACTATTTGTCTTTGTAAAAATTGGAAGTCACTTGGAAACACTTGCCTGTTTGCTTTTTTGAATTATGTAGCTGTTCATAGTTAATGCTGGGAGTTGTGCTTAAGGTATTTCAAACAGGTACTGTAGGGAAGGTGCTTTAGGTAAGTTTATTTTCCTTACATAAGTGTAGTGCAGCTGTCAGCTATGTGCAGTATCATATTGGTGAGAGTTCTTCTCCAAAGAAGATAATAAGCTTTCTTTTATTTGGAACTGAGGAACATTGTGTATTGGACACGATACTGCAATAGTTTCTATTCTTCATATAGGGGAGGGCATCTCTGTACTAGGCAATGGTTTTGTGTACAGATAAGAATTTGGTTTTAAGTTTCAAAGCTATGTGTGCACATATATAGGAAGAACGAATTTACGGTTTATATTTGTAGTTTATAATATTTGTTTTAGGTGGTTATACTGTTTAGATAGCAAATTGCTGTTTTAAAAAGCAGAGGTTTGCCTCCTTCAGCTCTGTTGCATATAGACGTCTCCACTGGAGTTGGTGGCTATAAAGCTGTTTTCTTAAGACTGTGGGCAAAGGAGGAGGTGAGGCTCCTCATCACTGCACATATACAATGTTGTCCTTGTAATTACGTGGTTTAGATTGTGCCTAGAAATCACGCTTGTAGCATGTGATATGAGTGTTCTTATAACTGATTTGTCTACCAAATGCTGCTGTGTGGTTTGAGCTAGGGTTTGGATGTGAAGGTCTGAATCCTCTTTCCTCTATTGTGGAGGAACCCTTCTGTGCAAAGTGTTACACAGGCACAGCTTTCTGTATGTTTACATGTAACAATCCTGGTGTGCTATATTATATTTAAGATGCGGTATTAGTAGAGGACCTATTTTACTGAAATGCTACAAAGGATTAAGTGACCCAGTAAACCTCTTTGGTAGTATTAAGAAGTAGCTTGGTGACAAGATTATCTGCATGCTGATCTTTTAACTTCTGCATCTGTTTAAGGACTTAGATGATTATTCATCATAGACTGAAAGCAGTCCTTTTCCATCAAACAGTCTTTACCACCTGCGTAGAAGACAGCAATTTTATTGTGAATACACAGATAATACAAAGAAGACTCGTAATTCAGGGGAGAAACTTGGAAGTTGTAATACATGCGTGTAACAAAAGCTTTGATGGTAGTTGACACAAAAAGTAATTTCGTTTTTGAATAAAATCTGTAAGGGAAACTATAGCATTTCAATGTTATGGTTAATGAACCATATAACTGAGATATTTGTGGCCAGAGTAATAAATGTCTGTCTGTGCTCACACTCACACACGCATATATGTAGAAATCATACATACTGCATTTTTTAAAATACACATATATATATATATATCAGCTGGCGATACAGAAATAGAGTAAATTGCATGTGCATTTGTCTTTAATAGGGATGCAGAGCCTAAATTCCAATAAATCCATAGAGAATAATCCCACTATTATATAAGGCTGGTTTGGGAAGTAAAGAATTGAACAGGTGGCCTTGGTGCTGCGTTTGAATAGGCAAATCTCAAGGTCCTTAAGGAAGAGACTTTGGAGACTAGTTTCTATGGCACTGGAATGTGGCATCTTCCAGTGTCTGACATTCTGCTTTGCTCTTACTGTAATGCAGTGTATTTTCAGGAGCTTGGTAAAGGTAGTAATTTTTTCCTGGTAAGAAAGGTGGAGTTGTTGATGCTCAGATGAAGTATAGTATGTAAAGGGGGTTTTATCCCTACCTAGTTGCTTGCATCCTGCATCCGGACTCTTCCAATGTGCATCATTGTTTTGTAACTTTACCAAGGACACTCCATGTTGCCCTTGATGGGGAAGTCAGAGTTTGTTAATTTATTGTTAAAATGCTGCAAGTGAGACTTTGAACCTTCTTCTTCTTTCTTAGTATTAAAGCATATCAATTATGTGTTTACACGATCAACATCTACCAGTTAAGCAGTGATAGAAAAATCAGTTAGCTAGCCTTAGGCACATCTGCTCTATAAAAGAGCAACTCTGCACTAAAAAGGTGAGTATCAGTGATGATGTATGATAGCTGAAGTTAATCTGTGTTTGCAATAAGAATTAACCATGTTTTTTTTTAAAATACATGTGAAAGAGTAAAGATACTTGACAAATGCTGAAAGATGTTTTTAACTTGATAACTGTCTATCCCTAAAAAAAAAAAAGCATTTTTTTTGTTGAGATTGGATTTTTATTTTGTTTTATTTTCTTGAGTCTTCATGTGCTTTGATTCTGGAAAGAATGTTTCAATTGGGCAATTGGTGAAATTTTCATATACATGGGTTTTGTTTCATTTTGGTTTGCATCAGTTGGATGACACCAGTTGTGGGTGTGATGTTGGATGCTCTTCAGGGCAGGAGCACTTTTCTGTGTATGTATTTAGATTTTTTTTTAACTTCTAGATTTTTTTAAACAATATTATTTGAAAAAGCATATTTTGAGTTCTAGGAAGTGAGAAAAAATGAACTGATCTTGCCGAGGTACTTGGCCATGTCTTGTCAAAGCAGAGTATGTGGAAATTTTGTCAGTGTTCAGATATCATGAATACAGGTGTCTTACAGAGCTACTAAGTGATGCTCACTTGAAAACTACATGCAGATGTACAATAACAAAACTGTTAACAGTCTACATTGAAAGGTGTCTTGTTCATTTTTTAAACACATTCATCTCTCAAAATAAAAGAGCTTTCCTGTGCTAAATATTTGAATCCATACCTTTAAGGGAATGGGGGAAGGAAGAGTTCTGTGAGACTTTTTCAGTAAACAGACTGAAAAGAGCCAGTGCAGAAGAAATGCTGGCCAGATTACTTGTGTCTGTTACATGCCTGAGTACCTCCTTGCTGTAGGTTATCTTTCTAAGCCATTTCCTCACACTTTGTACCATTTGCTTTTTTCTTCTGTGAGATATTATCAGACCTGGTGTACTGCTTTCCTTCCAGTCCATTTTCATATAACTAAATCTGAAGCTCAGTATAAACTGTCTTTTACTGGCTGGAAACGTGGGGTTGTGGGTGACCTGTAGTCAATGCTGGGATCTATATGTTAATTCTCTAACTGAGCTTCTAAAAAATGCCTAAGTCTTATTTTTCCTTTCTAATTGACCTGACAAAGAGGTAATTTTTTAATCACTTGTAGCTACAAGTCTTTCAGTGCTTCAGCAAGCAGGCAGTTTGCATATTAATCTATCTAGAATAGCTGATGCATCTCAGTATTTACACAACCCTTGAAACAATATGTGTTGGGTCAGATAAACAGGAATCTTTCAGGTATCCTGCTCCATTAGCCTTAAGGTCAGTTTGGCCTGACAGCTAAATGAGGCACACAGCTGCTGTGGATCATTCAGGTGGGGCAGAACCACCAGAAGATAGCTTTGATCTCAGCAATTAACCCTGTAGTGTGATGGCAGTAAATACATGACTGAGTTGTCCTTAACTGCTGTCTGTTGTGACTACTACACAGGGATGTTACAGAGTTTCTTTAACAATATATCCATTTAAATAAATCAACAGCAACAACAACAACAACAACTGAATCCCTCCCCTAAGTTACAAGCATCTTTTTCTGAGTCACAAAATGAATTTACAGTGCATAAAGCATAGACAACTGTTAGCAGGTTCATAACAATAAATAAATAAATGTAGTATTTTCTTGGTCAGGTATGTGTGTATATGTATCTGCATATATTTAAATCTTTTATCAAATGGTGATGGAGCACCTTCATTACCATGGCAGACATAATCCCTCCCATCTTTTTTGCCTACTTTCCTCAGTCTATTGAGGTAATTTCCGTTTGATTCAGCAGGCCACTAGTCACACCACAGATGTAACTTAATGGATGCCAAAGCATATTACTAACCAGTCCACGTACCTGTCTCATTTCATGCCACCCCTCCACCCCCATAACAGAAAGAGGGGTGTTTGACTTCAAGTAGCAGTCCAAGCATGCAGGACTAAGAATATTTTTTCCCTTTTTCTGTAGAGGTAAGTGGCATACGGGGCAGGAGCACACCCAGTGCCATTTCAGCTCCTTGAATTGCCGTGTTGAGCTATGGCACCCCGCTGCTGTGTTTTATCAACTACACAGCAAGTTGTCTTTGGAATTGCCATTGAGGGTGTCAGTGCAATGCCCTGACAGTTCCTGTGATTGTGTGTGCTGGGTTCCACGCTCCAGCTCAGGTGTCGGGGATTCTTCCTGCCTTGTGGAGGCACCTGCCCCTACATGCTTGATCTATTTTTTCTGATAAAGAAAAATACCCAAATTGAACTTGCATAATTGCATGCAATTGAAAGGCCTAGGAAGACCTCATCAAATTCTGTCTTTTGCACTTTGGTGCTGGTAAAAACTCCCCATACCATATTAATCACAGGCACATCTCTTAAGAAACGTACTTTGAGGAGCTGCTGCTTTCCTTTGCCATTTCAACTTCAGTGTAGTGTAGCTGAAACTTCAAGAGTCATGCCTTGTCTTCTTCGCCTTCAGAGGCAGGTAAAATCTCCAGCACCAGCTTATCTGACAAGTTGATCAACAGGGGCTAGAACCATTGCACAGTTGTAGTTGATATGCTCCATCAGTTATCTGTATCTTGCCATTAACATTATCACTGTCATTAGTGAGGTTATCCTGCAGCCAGCTGTAATCATAGGTCATGTCATTTTGCTAATTAGGGTACTGTCTTTAAGAGTATTGGATGCCTTAGGTTCATTATGAATGTGGCTGGTCAGTAAGGCTTCTGAGTAAACCCTTTGGTCTCTAAATGCTCTCACCATCTTTTGATTTTACCGTTAAA